TTTTTGTCCTTATTTTTGCAGGTTTACGTTGGGGAGCAAAAAGGAGCAAAAAAAGAAAAAAAAATTAACCGGTACCGGTTCCGGTACCGGCAGTGCCGGTAAGGAATTTGGGGCACCGGAACCGAGACCGGATATGGCGGTACCGGTGCCGGTTCTCGGAACCGTTTCGCCGTTCCGATGCACGTTACGGTGCTCGGTACCGGCGGTACCGTTTCCGGTGACGGTACCGAACCGGTACCGTGTCCAGGTCTAGTTGGCAGTTGGCAGTTCGTGCCAGCTGTTGTGAATGGCTGTTTAGTTTAGCTGGTTTGACTGGCAGAATGAATTGGCTGATCGTTAAAAATGTTTGATAAAATTAGCTGTTTGAAAATAGTGTTTCATATATATATATATATATATATATATATATATATATATATATATATATATATATATATATACACACACACACACATACATACACACACACGATATTTATTTTTCATTTTTTTACATGTAAATATTAAATCTTTACTATATGGAGTATTAAATTTTAATTTCATTTAATTCATAATAAATTATTAATATAAATTTTTTTAATGATTTTTACTTTTTATTTTCTCATTTCATTTTTTGAAATTTTTAAATTTTAAATTTTATTTTCTTTAGTATTTAATTTTTTGAACTTTTATTTTTATTTTTATTTTTTTACATATATTATAAAATATCTTTCAACAAAAATGATTTTAAAAAAATTATTTTTCCTAACCGCCAAGTCCAAATGCTACTCCCCTTGGCCTTTCAGATTTTGGCTTTTCGGATCAAAATGCCAAGTGAAAAAGCCATTAGCCAAAGTCAGTCAAAGATGCCAAAAGCTATCCGAAATGCTGTTTTCCAAACACGGCCAAGGTGTTTTCCAAATTCAGTCTTTAATAAGTTTTAATTACCTACGTGATCTTTTATAATTGAGATTTATTCCCAAGATAGTACTTCGTAAATAATATTACTCAAATGATGATTAATTACTTGGTCCGTCCCTGAGTGTTTGTCCACTTTTGACTTTTGGAACTGTTTATCTAAGCACTTTGACTCATCAAATTCTCTCAATGTGTAAGCCTAAAAATAGTCATGTGTGATCTTGTTTGATTCGTCTTAACATATAGATTATTAATATATACAAATTACAAGATAAAATGGATTAAAGAAGTGCATTGGATGGTGTGCAAAAATGAAAGTAGACAAACACTCAGGGACGGAGGGAGTAGGAGATATTTTGGTATTTTGATCATCCAAATTTAAAGTATATTTTCGAAATAGTTAAATTTAAAAAATACATTGACTATAAATATTCATGAATAATGTAAAAGTTATAAAAAAAAAAATTAAATTTCAAATCAAATACATATATTTAATTAGAAAAAAACATTTTGGGAAAACACTTCATTATAAATGATCCTTTAAAGAATTAATTCTAAATTTAGCAGGTAAAAAAATACTAAAATACCTTCAATTAATCCTCATTTGAGTAACATTATTTACGAAGGACTATCTTGGGAATAATTCTCAATTATAGAGGACCACATAGTTATTTAAAACTTATTGAGGACTGATTTGGGAAAATACTTTATTACAAAAGACTATTTTGGGAACTTACTCTTTTAATAATGTATAATACGTTTTGGTTGAATATAATTACCTGAAATAACCATGTGATGTGATTTTGATCTTTTTATCAATACTACTCAAATAAAATTAACAATGGCCGTGTTTTGCAAAAAAACAAATTTTATGATGGACCAAGAAAAATAAGTACTTTTTGCTACTTAAATAAGTATTTGTATTTTAATTAAAAAAATTAAAATAAAAGATATTTTATGTGGGAAGGTCTACAAAAATAATATGCACCAAGGTGCACAAAAAAGCACTCTTGCAAAACAGCTTTTTGAATGGTTTTGACATTTTTTACTAATTTTAGTTTTTTTTACTAATCAAAAAGCCAAAATCATTATTTTGCTAATGACATTTTCACTTGGTTGTTTGATTTGATAAGCAAAAATCTTAAAAAATCAATGAGAGTAGCTTTTGGACTTGGCGGTTAGGAATTGTTTTATCATTTTTCTTGAAAGATATTAAATAATATATGTAAAAAAATAAAAATAAAAGTTAAAAAATCAAAAATTTTAAAAACAAAGTAAATGATATGAGAATATCAAAAGTAAAAATCATTTAAAAGTTTTTTATTATTAAATTCTTATGAATTATAAGAAATTTGAATTTTATATATACATGCATACATATACATACATACATACATACATACATATATATATATATATATATATATATATATATATATATATATATATATATATATATATAAACACACATAAAATTTTTAAATCTTGAAACTACTATTTTCAAACAGCTAATTTTGCCAAACGTTTTTAACAACTAGCTAAGTAGCTAACATATCCAGCCGGTCAAACTAGCTAAACTAAACAGTCATTCAAAAGCGTTGATACAAATAGCCAATAGCCGACATGCAAACAATGCCAATGACGTGCAAGCTCAATGTCTATAAAAAGAGTTTTTTGTGTCATTCACTCCTAAACTTTTCAAAACCCGTATAAATTCATTTCAAACTTAAAAATTTACACCAATGTCTCCTAAACTTTTAAAATGTTGCACCGATGGTCACTCTATGCTAGATTTGGTGTGTTAATCACACACTCAGAAATATACGTGTTGGAACTTTATGAAAGATGTCATAGATTGATGGAGAGATTGATCGATTGATGACGAGCTTTATTGACAAATGTTTGACATTCAAATTCGGTTGTTGACGACTTAATTGAGAATAGTTATTTAGGATTTATAGAGGTTAAAAACACAGAAAATAATATTCAAGAAATGCATATTGCATAACTCACATGCGGTATATGACTTTAGACGAATTCATACTTGTACTGGATAAGCGCGTGACTAACACACTTCTAAATCTGGTATAAAGGGACTATGGTGCAATATTTTATAAAGTTCGGAGGGTATTGGTGTAATTTTTTAAGTTCGGGAGGAATCGGAGTAATTTTTTCAAAATTTAGGGAGGGGAAAAAGTGTAAAAAACTCTTTATAGAAAAGACAAATGTGTGAAATGGTTTTTTTTAACATCAAAGATTATAATACTATTGATGATAAAATTTGGGTGTGTGTTAAGCGACATACACGAGCAATCTGGAATGGTTGATCCAGAAAAAAAATGTTACCAAGTATTTCACTTTTTTAAAGACTAGTTATAATGATAAAAAATGAATAAATTTATTTTCAAACTAGTATTCAAATAAGTAAAATAAAATATTTTTAAACTGGAAAAAAAATAATACTCTAGTATTATATTTCAAGTATTTCACCTTTATTTTCTATTTAAAGAATTATTTTTGCTTTCAAATTAGATTTTTTTGGCACAGGGGCACAATTTTTTCACCAAGGGCGCTCTTTTCGTTTACCACAATTTTTATATATTGTATATCTAAAAAGAATTGACTGGGGGACACTGCCTCGATTACCTTCAACTTGGATCTGCTGCTAGTGCTCTCAGGGAAGAATACGGGGCACGTGCCAATACATATGTTGCTTCGTTAGGGCACGAATACAAGGCACATGCCACTTCATATCATCAATTAACGATCAAAGTTGAATTAAAGTAACCATCTGACTGGATCTGAAAGGGCCCTTGGAAACCGGATTATCTTTTTTTATTAAACTCTATTTCAAAATATAGAAGTGAATTTTCTAAATGTTTAGAGAAAATTTTGTTCTTCCTTTCCATCTCCCTTCCCTGCTTTGTTATCCCTCCATCCAAAGTCCAAACCCACAGTTAACGAGTAATTTACTTCGTACTACGGACTAGTATTTTATTTCCCTTTTCAGAATGAGACCGACAATGGAAGCCCGAAACACCCTGATTGTGCAGGATTTCCATGGTGTTCTCTTCAATAATTCGGCTTCCAATTAGGGTTATCATTTCGAATACATGGATATATCAACCTAACAGCAGTCTCTTCAATCTCAACACAATTCACAGTGAGCTCTTCTTGCTTATCCTTTTTCTTATATAGTTATATTCGAATTAAGTAAATGGCAGCCGAGTGACTTGTAATGCTCCACAAGCTTTTTCATTTATTTTGTTCATAATTCTTAATTTCATTGGAAAAAAACTTGGAGAAATGTGGATGAATTAACATTTTTTTGTATAAAAATCAATTTTTTTATGTTTCGATCTGATCCGGATGATTACTAAGTACTTAGATTCATCGCAATTGGAAAAAAAAACAAATTTTGTTATTCCCAATATGATCAGGGAAAAAAGAATAGAACACTGTACATGAAAAATTTCTCTACAAAATCGTTTCAATGCCGAAGATACTAAGATCTACTATTCATGCTAGAGATGACGTCAAGGAAGATATCCTCCGGAATAGGAATCGTAAGCCCGCCCATCGGATGATCAAATCCAAATTCTTCTTCAGCTTGACAGAGCAGGTCTTGGAATGAATGATCCTTCAAGTATGTTATTGGAAGGACAAAGCGTTTCTTCTCGCCCTCGCCTACATAGACTGCAAAGTGACCCTTGGGAACCTCACTTTCTCTGTTTGTTCTCGAGGAAGACCTTCTGAGGCCTCCTTGCTTCCCACGGAGAATGCGCCCCATACTGATTGCCATATTTCTTTAGAATCTGGAGGAAGCGTTAAATGAAGAAACAGTTTGTGAATGCTGAAATAATGTTCTTTGTGAACTGTGGAGGAAGTCCTTGAGTTTGAATGGTGGTGAATACCAACTAAAATGTGTTTATATAGATATATGATCCTTTAGAAGGTGTAATAAGTGATATGAAGTTGAGATAGCTCAACCACATATCTCATTACCACATGCTTTTGTCTTCCAATTATGTGCACTGCCAGCATGGTTGGTACAGCACAAGGAGTGGTATTTGTGTATGAAACGTTCTTTGGGAAATCATCAATAGTTTATACTGCCTATGAACATTATTCCCCACAGGTTTCAATGAAATTGAATAGATAATGGCAGCTCAACTACTTATGCTATTCAAAGAATAATGAGAGATGAAGATTCATGGTATTTTCCCAGAAAATAGATCAACTGATTTGCTTCAATGGGAAACATAGCCATGTGATTCTGATTACATGTCTTCCTGATTGAAGCTAAATGGCCCCATGTGTCTAGTTAGCACATGGTTTTGCCTTCATGAAGAACTGAAGCTTTTGCCAGCCTGCTGAACATGATAAATAGAAGGCTTGCATCTTCTGCATTCTGATTAACAGACACTGCTATGGTTCCAAAAAATTATCTACTTGATTTAGTTCTTAGAAAGAAGTGTGTCCATTGGTGTCCATAAGTGCGGCTTCCTAGAAGTTAAGTGGGGCTTTCTGGTTTCTCTTCTTTTAATGATGAATGGCTTCTTTATTTGGAATGTTACAAAGGGGTTGCCTGAAGAGAAAGCTCAAACCATACTTTTTACAGCCTCATTTATGGTAGTAATATTTTGGCAAGGCAGAGATTGGGGCAAATGCTGGTTGAAAGATCCTGAGCAGAATGGCATTTTTAGTAACTGTTTTGCATAATGGAGCTAGAGTCAGCCAGCGTTGATCACTCAGAAGAAAGCATTTCGATTCATTAGAATGTGAGGGAATGAAGTTGGAGAGTAGTGTGAAGAATAAATGTCAATGGCCCTTTCGAGTGGAAAGTTTTTCTTTCAGCCCTGCTTAAAACTCTCTTTCCTGCTTAAAACAGTTTCTTAGCAATAAGTTCATAAATAAAATGGAGCTACTTGGCTGATTCTTTGGATGTCAAGTACTGTAATCAATGGAGGCACTTTACACGTTGATGAGCCCAAATTCTTTGCTGCCTGCATTCTGCGATATGAAATGTATGAAAGTGTGGGGATAAAAAACAATACTTAAGAGAGAGCTGAATTCAAAATGTGATGGCTTTCACCGAATGCTTAGCAACGAAATGGCTCGGCCTTATTAGTTTCCATCCAAGTTGCAACAAGTTACCACAGGGTTCTTCAGGATGCTTATTATTTGCAACTGCTATCCTGTGTGTTTCCAATGATCAGACACTTGCTACATTGCTATAGCTGGTGGTGAGTAGTCTTGAATTGTGCCAAATGAAGGTAAAATTGTATGGACTTTGGTGGTCATCTGGTTCGATTTTCTGTTTTCATTTGTAATATCCAGGTTGAGCATTTCTTTCAAGAAGTAAATAGATTCTCGGAGCGATGTTTTTGCTACAGGAGGTGGTATTTATCGTCACTTTCCATGCCTCACTTATGAGCATGGGATCATTACATCTTCATGTACTACCAAGAATCCACGCAAATAAGGAGAGCGAGTGGGATAGGCGGATAAATATGGAAGACGGAGCTTCACTCATTCTTAAGAAAAAGTCTATAACATCCATTTATGTTGTGTAAAGTTTATGGTTTCCATTTGTTCATATTCAATCTCCTCAATTTATGTTGAGAAGAGTTCCTTCCACCTTTGCTAAAGATTATCCATGATGTTGAGGAAATCCTTGAAAAACGAAAGAGAGATTATGTTCCCACAAAAAGTAGGGTCTTGAGAGTGTGTCTACGCAGACCTTACCCCCCACCGGAGAGTAGAGTGGTTTTTTCCAAGACAGCTACCTCAGGCCTCCTAAGAAAAAAATTTCTACCTCTATTCTCCCTCTTTTCCCATTCAGTTTCTCCCTCTCTCTAATATCTAGGTAAATTTATGATCAATTCCATTAAGCTCCTCTACCTGCAAAGAGTTTGCAGAAAATTGCTGCCATCAGAAGAAATATGATTTCTTTTTTGATGTCATTACATGAAGACACAGTACACTGCTTGGTACGACAGAAAACCCAGTAGAGTACAATATTTGATGGAAAAAGTGAAAAACATAATCTAGTGCAGAGTTACAGACATTTATATTAAATATTTCATTTTTTAATTTTCAAAAAGAATTCAAATATCAAGGACATGATATTTGATTCCGAAATGTAAGTATAGGGCTGGCAAGGTTTGACTCTGTAAGTATCATTCTCTCTTATTTCTCAATTCTCCAAGTTCAAACCTTACAAATACCAATGCCCCTCCACCTAGGACCTCCACTCTTTTTTTTTTTCCTTTCCCTTTTATCCTTCCTGAAACTCTAAAAGAAATTGTTTTACTGGTAGAAATAACAGAGTATATTGGATGGTAAATTTATTCTTTACTTTTCAAAGTTTATCTGTAAGGCTTATATAAGCACTTATCCAAGACTAACACAATGACTTTTATTCTGCTGTAGGCTGGCTAATGGAATCATCACCAAATCCAGGTTCGAACCCTGGCAGCAGAGATTTTTTTGGGCTATTTTTTTATTGACTTTCCTTTTGTGAAAATGGTGTAGAATGTTAATAATTATTTTCCACTCAAACCATTAGGGTGCAAATTTAAATGTGAGATGATAAAGTTACTTTTGAACAAATTTGCCTTTTCAATTACATTAAAAGGGGTAGTAATGGTAAAGAAGTGGGAAGAACCGAAGGGGACGGTGAAAAAAGGCATTTGGGAAGAACTGCAGGGGAAAAATGTTCTAAAATTCTTGCTAACAATGGGATTCTCGATCCTGCAGGACTCCCGTGGCTTTCTTTGGCTTCCTGAAGTTTTCTCCCTTTAATGCTTTATTTACCTCAACATTTGCATATATTAACGTGACAGGTGCCTCATCCATAATTCACGGTGAGCTCTTCTTGCATCTAATTTTTTTCCTGTTTAGATTCATATTCGGTAAGTGCTAGTCGAACCTAACTCTGTTGACTCAACTTCCAATTTAGAATTATAATTTATATCTCTTATTTTCCATAAGAGCTTGGAGATATCTGTAATATTATTATACTTCCTTTCCTATCAGTCTATCACTTTAATCATTCGGGATAATGAGTAACACGGGTTAAACAGACTCAGAATAGTTGATGAAAGAAATTAGTTTTATATACTTCCCAATCTGACGAGGAAGGAAAAAAAAATTAGAACATTGTACAAGAATAAGCTTCTCTACAAAATTGTTTTGATGCCTAGGAACTAAGATATGTGAAGTGTATCAGGATCTACTACTCATGCTAGAGATGATGTCGAGGAAGGTATCTTCTGGACAAGGAATTGTAAGCCCACCCATTGGATGATCAAATCCAAATTCTTCTTCAGCTTGACATAGTAAGTCTTGGAATGAATGGTCCTTCAAGTATGCTATTGGAAGGACAAAGCGTTTCTTCTCGCCCTCACCTACATAAACTGCAAAGTGACCCTTAGGAACCTCATTTTCTCTGTTTGTTCTTGAGGAAGACCTTCTGAGGCCTCCTTGCTTCCCACGGAGAATGCGCCCCATACCGATTGCCATATTTCTTTCTGATGTGGAGGAAGTATTAAATAGCTTTTGAATGCTGTAGTAATGTTTTGTGTGAACTGTGTAGAAAGTCTTTGAGTTTTTGTGGTGGTGAATACCAAGTGGGATGTGTTTATATAGATATACAATCCTTTAGAAGGTGGAATAAGTGATATGAACTTGCTATAGCTCAACCACTATGTCATTAGCACATGTTTTGTTTTCCAATAATGTCTACTGCCAGCTTGGTAGGTCAGCAAAAGGAGTGGTAGTTTGGTATGACACGTTCTTTAGGAAATTATCAATAGTTTCTACTACCTCTGAACATTATTCCCCTCTGAGCATGAATTTGAATAGACGTGGACAGCTAAACCATTTATGCCATTCAAGAAGATTAATGGTATTTGCCCAGAAAATAGCTCAACTCATTTACTTGAATGAGAAACAAAGCCATGTGATTCTGATCAAATGTCTTCCTGATTGAGTAGTTAAGTGGTCCCTTATGTCTTCTAGTTGGAACATGGCTTTGCCTTCCTCAAGAAATGAAGCTTGTGGCAGCATACCAAACATGTTAAATAGATCACTTGCTTCTTCTGCATCCCGATAATCAGACACTTCAATCCACTCATTGCGAAATGTTCTTCTCTCTTCTATTCTATTTCTTGGAATTGATTCCAAGAAATTTGGTGCAGGACTTCCTCTAGATTTTGTGTTCAGCAGCTACTTTATATTTGTGCTCACCAGCCTGACCCAACCAAGAAGGGCTGAGAAGTTGAAAATTTGTAAGCATGCAAGAACTTTTTAGTATTTCTGCTCACCAGCTTCTTCTAAATGTGGGTTGGCTTCTTTCTTTGGAATGTTAGAGAGATTGCCCGAAGAGAACAAACCATGTTGTTTGAAAGTTCCTGGTGAAGAAAGCATTTTGGTTCATTATCAAGTTGGAGAATAGTTTGAAGAGTAGGTGTCAAGCTTTTGGGAAGTGTTTTTTTCTGTCAGCTCTGCTTGGCAGATTCATTGTGTGTGAATATGTGCTTGGCAGTTCATCGTATCCCAACACATTTTTTCTTCTCTAGGGATAATATGTGAATATCTGTACAGGCACAAATGAAGTAAAGAATAAGGGAGAGTAACATTCCATTGGAATTTTGGAAATACAGTGTATTACTCAAGGAACAATAGAATACATGACAGAGAAATACATTGGTATAAAAATATTTATTACATATTTAAAAATTACATCAAAAATTTTACAAAAAACACGATAAAACTTTTTAAACTAAATGTCCAATGAAAACACACAAATAAATAAAAGTTACCGGGAACTCAACTAATAAGAGTATAATTCATTTTGAAACGAGAGAATTATCATTTAGAGTGTTAACTCTTAAAGAATTAGTTGCCCAATAGACCAATTAAACAAAAACACATCATCACCCAGATATATGTAATTGAAATATTCTCTCCGTTCCTAAAGGATTTACACCTTACGCAAAACGAAGTAAAATCTCAAGTTTTTTCAAATTATTTTATACCAACACTTTAACAGTCGGTATTGAAATAAAACATAAAACTTGCATATTCAAAAAATTATATCTAAAATTCTACAAAATAAGAGGTGACAAGAATATTTGATTTCATTAAATAATCAATGAAAACGCACATACAAATAAATGTTCTCGTGATTTTTGAATATTGAAGAGTCTAAATCATTTAAGGATGGAAGGAGTATCAAATAAACAAACTCGAATGGATTAGCTGACAATACAAATAATCTAAAGAGTAAATATTTCTAACCTCTAAATGATAAAAGAAGATTGATAATATCCGGGTTCAAAGTCTGGTAGCGGATTACTCTCTTTTTTTATTTTTATCTTTTGGCCTCCTGAATTTAGGGTTTTTATTGCAAAAAAATGCTACTGGGTACCCCAATTTTGTAATAGGAACCCATTATTTTTAAAGAGTGAATCAGGAGTGACAATCCTTTACTCTCCCCGTTAATATCCCTTCTCCGTACCTCGGAGACGGATTCGGCTTCCAGCTTCTCTTTCTCTTTTTATTACGGTGAATTTCTTTCCGCGCACATCTCAATGTCATTCATCCATAGGATGTGAAGAGGTATTTTACTGCATAATCTTAATTACCTATAAACTTTTGGAGATGTTTGGAATTATTAGACTTTCTTTCCTTCCATTTGATTCGTCCACGAGAAAGTAAATGGAAAAATTATAATTTTTATTTCCCAATCTGATCACGAAAAAAATGGAGCACTGTACAAGAATACTTTTATCTGCAAAATTGTGTTTATAATCTAAGATATCTAAAGTCTATTAGGATCTGCTACTCATGCTAGAGATGATGTCCAAGAAGGTATCCTCCGGAATAGGAATTGTAAGCCCGCCCATGGGATGATCAAATCCAAATTCTTCTTCAGCTTGACAAAGCAGGTCTTGGAATGAATGATCCTTCAAGTATGTTATTGGAAGGACAAAGCGTTTCTTCTCGCCCTCGCCTACATAAACTGCAAAGTGACCCTTAGGAACCTCACTTTCTCTGCTTGATCTCGAGGAAGACCTTCTGAGGCCTCCTTGCTTCCCACGGAGTATGCGCCCCATACTGATTGCCATATTTCTTTAGGATGTAGAGGAAGTGTTAAATTAAGAAATAGCTTGTGAATGCTGAAATAATGTTTTCTGTGAACTGTGGAGGAAGTCCTTGAGTCTGAGTGGGGGTTACAAACCAACTTGAATGTGTTTATATAGATATACGATCCTTTAGGAGGTGGAATAAGTTATATGAACTTGAGATGGCTCAACCACTCTGTCACTACCACATGTTTTTGTCTTCCAATAATGTCTATTGCCAGCTTGGTAGGTACAGCATAAGGACTGGTAGTTTGGTATGACACGTTCTTTGGGAATTCATCAATAGTTTCTACTGCCTAAGAACATCATTCCCCACAGATTTCAAAGAATAATAAGAGATAAAGATTCATAGTATTTTCCCAGAAAATAGATCAACTGATGTGCTTCAATGGGAAACATAGCCATGTGATTCTGATTACATGTCTTCCTGATTGAAGCTAAATGGCCCCATGTGTCTAGTTAGCACATGGTTTTGCCTTCATGAAGAACTGAAGCTTTTGCCAGCCTTTTGAACATGATAAATAGAAGGCTTGCATCTTCTGCATTCTGATTAACAGACACTGCTAAGGTTCAAAAAAATTATCTGCTTGATTTAGTTCTTAGAAATTTGTTGCAGTACTTCCTCTACTGTTACCTATCTCTTGAATTTTTCTCCGTACTCTCTATTTTGTGTTCATCAGCATCACTACACCAAGAAGGGCACAGAAGTGTGTCCATTGGTGTCCATAAGTGCGGCTTCCTAGAAGTTAAGTGGGGCTTTCTGGTGTCTCTTCTTTTAATGATGAATAGCTTCTTTATTTGGAATGTTACAAAGGGGTTGCCTCACGAGAAACTCAAACCATACTTTTTACAGCCTCATTTATGGTAGTCATATTTTGGCAAGGCAGAGATTGGGGCAAATGCTGGTTGAAAGATCCTGAGCAGAATGGCATTTTTAGTAACTGTTTTGCATAATGGAGCTAGAGTCAGCCAGCGTTGATCACTCAGAAGAAAGCATTTCGATTCATTAGAATGTGAGGGAATGAAGTTGGAGAGTAGTGTGAAGAGTAAATGTCAATGGCCCTTTGGAGTGGAAAGTTTTTCTTTCAGCCCTGCTTAAAACTCTCCTTCCTGCTTAAAACAGTTTCTTAGCAATAAGTTCATAAATGAAATGGAGCTACTTGGCTGATTCTTTGGATCTCAAGTACTGTAATCAATGGAGGCACTTTACAGGTTGATGAGCCCAAAAATTTTTGCTGCCTGCATATTGCGATATGTTTGGAGTTCTGGAATCAAAGAAATGTATGAAAGTGTGGGGATAATAAACAAAACTAAAGAGAGAGCTGAATTCAAAATGTGATGGATTTCACCGAAAGCTTAGCAACAAAATGGCTCGGCCTTATTAGTTTCCATCCAAGTTGCAACAAGGTACCACAGGGTTCTACAGGATGCTTATTATTTGCAACTGCTATCCTGTGTGTTTCCAATGATCAGACACTTGCTAAATTGCTGTAGCAGGTAGTGAGTAGTCTTGAATGGTGCCAAATGAAGGTAAAATTGCATGAACAGAAGGTGGTCATCTGGTTTGATTTTCTGTTTGCATTTGTAATATCCAGGTTGAGCATTTCTTTCAAGAAGTGAATAGATTCTCGGAGCATTGTTTTTCCTACAGGAGGTGGTATATATCATCACTGTCCACTGCCTCACATATGAGCATGGGATCATTACATCTTCATGTACTACCAGTCTACCAAGAATCCACACAAATAAGGAGAGCGAGTGGGATAGATATGGAAGACGGAGCTTTGCCCATTCTTTAAAAAAAGTCTATAACATCCATTTATGTTGTGTGAAGTATATGGTTTCCATTTGTTCATATTCAATCACCTCAATTTATATTGAGAAGAGTTCCTTCCACCTTTGCTAAAGGTTATTCATGAAGTTGAGGAAATCTTTGAAACATGAAAGAGAGGTTATGCTCCCATAACAAGTAGGGTCTCGAGAGTGTGTGTACGCAGACCTTACCCCCCCCACCGGAAACAACTCACGAGTGGTTGTTTCCAAGACAGCTACCTCAGGCCACCTAAGATAAAAGGTTTCTACCTCAATCCTCCCTCCTTTCCCATTCAATTTCTCCCTCTCTCTAATATCTAGGTAAATTTATGATCTATTCCATTAAGCTTCTCTACCTGCAAAGAGTTTGCAGAAAATTGCTGCCATCAGAAGAAATATGATTTCTTTTTCGATGTCATTACATGAAGACACAATACGCTACTTGGTACGACAGAAAACCTAATTTAGTGCAGAGTTATGGACATTTATATTATATATTTCATTATTAATTTTGAAGAAGAATTCAAATATCAAGGACATGATATTTGATTTTGAAATGTAAATATAGGGCTAGCAAGGTTTGACTCTGTAAGTATCGTTCTCTCTTATTTTTCAAATCTCCAACTCCAAACCTTACAAATACCAATGCCCCTCCTAAGATCCCCGACTCTTTTTCTTCTTTCCCTTTTTTCCTTCTTGCAATTTTAAAAGAAAACGGTTTTGTTTTACAGGTAGAAATACGGTCATACAGAGTATATTGGATGGTAAATTTAATCTTTACTGCTCAAAGTTTATCTTTAAGACTTATATAAACTCTTATCCAAAACTAACACAATGACTGTGTTGTTCTGCTGTAGCGCTGGCTAATTGAATCATCATCAAATCCAGGTTCGAACCCTGGCAGCAGAGATTTTTTTGGCCTATTTTTTCTTGACTTTCCTTTTGTGAAAATGGAGTACTATGTTAATAATTACACCCTACTCAAACCATTTCTGTGCAATTTTTAATGTAAGATAAAGTTACTTTTGGACGAATTTGCCTTTTCAATTAGGTAGTAAAGGTGAAGAAGTGGGAAGAACCAAAGGGGACAGTGAAAAAAGGCATTTGGGTAGAACCAAAGGGGACCAAGGGAATAATTCAAATGTTTTAAAAGTACTGACTAACAATGGGATTCTTGATTCTGCAGGACTCCCGGCTTCCCAAAATTTTCTCCCTTTTATGGTTTATTTTCCTCAACGATTTTCATATATTAACGTGACGGGTTTCTGATCCATAATTCACGTTGAGTTCTTCCTGCTTCTACTTTTTTCCTTTTTATGTTCAAATTCAGTAAGTGCTAGTCTAATCTAACTCTGTTGCCTCAGCTCCCAATTGAGAATTATAATATATAACTCCTAATTTCCATAAGAGCTTGGAGATATCTGTAATATTATTAGACTTCCTTTCCTATCAGTCTATCACTTTAATCATTCAGGATAATGAGTAACACGGGTTAAATAGACTCAGAAGTCAGAACAATTGATGGAAAAAATTAGTTGTTTTATACACTTCCCAGAATTACCAGGAAGGAAAAGAATAGAACATTGTACAAGAATAAGCTTCTCTACAAAATTGTTTTGATGCCAAGGAACTAAGATATCTGAAGTCTATCAGGATCTACTACTCATGCTAGAGATGATGTCGAGGAAGGTATCCTCAGGACAAGGAATTGTAAGCCCACCCATTGGATGATCAAATCCGAATTCTTCTTCAGCTTGACATAGCAGTTCTTGGAATGAATGGTCCTTCAAGTATGCTATTGGAAGGACAAAACGTTTCTTCTCGCTCTCCCCTACATAAACTGCAAAGTGGCCCTTAGGAACCTCACTTTCTCTGTTTGTTCTTGAGGAAGACCTTCTAAGGCCTCCTTGCTTCCCACGGAGAATGCGTCCCATACTGATTGCCATTTTTCTTTAGGATGTGGAGGAAGTATTAAATAAAGAAATAGCTTTTGAATGCTGAAGTTATGTTTTGTGTGAACTGTGAAGAAAGTCTTTGAGTTTTTGTGGTGGTGAATACCAACTGGGATGTGCTTATATAGATATACAATCCTTTAGAAGGAAGAATAAGTGATATGAACTTGAGATAGCTCAACCACTCTGTGTGATTACCACATGTTTTGTTTTCCAATAATGTCTACTGCCAGCTTGGTAGGTCACCATAAGCAGTGGTAGTTTGGCAAGAGACGTTCTTAAGGAAATCATCAATAGTTTCTACTGCCTCTGAACATTATTCCCCACAGACTTCAATGAAATTGAATAGACAGCTCATCCATTTATGCCATTCAAGAAGATTAATGGTATTTGCCCAGAAAATAGCTCAACTCATTTACTTGCATGGGAAACATAGCCATGTGATTCTGATCAAATGTCTTCCTTATTGAGTAGCTGAATGGTCCCTTATGTCTAGTTGGCACATGGCTTTGCCTTCCTCAAGAAATGAAGCTTGTGGCAGCCTACTAAACATGTTAAATAGATGGCTTGCTTCTTCTGCATCCTGATAATCAGACACTGCAATCCACTCATTGTGAAATCTTTTGCTCTCTTTGAATTGATTCCAAGGAATTTGGTGCAGGACTTCCTCTATATTTTGTGTTCAGCAGCTACTTTTTATTTGTGCCCACCAGCTTCACCCAACCAAGAAGGGCTGAGAAGTTGAAAATTTGTAAGCATGCAAGAACTTTTTAGTATCTTTGCTCACCAGCTTCTTCCAAATGTGGGTTGGCTTTTTTGTTTGAAATGTTAGAGAGATTTCCACAAGAGAAAGGACAAACCATGCTGTTTGAGAGTTCCTGGAGAAGAAAGCATTTTGGTTCATTAGAGTTGGAGAATATTGTGAAGAGTAGGTGTCAAGCTTTTGGAAAGTTTTTTTTGTCAACTCTGCTTAAAAATTAAAAACTCTCTTTTTTTTTTTGGTTGAGATGATTGTGAGCAATAAGTTCTTTCAAGAACTTATGCTTGGAGTTCCGGAATCAGAGAAATATATGAAAGTGCGAAGATTCAAACAACAGCATCGCAAAAGTTGAATTCAAAATGTGGCGGCTTTCACCGAATGCTTGGCAACAGACTGTGGCAGCCGCTTTCACCGAATCAATTATGTTTTGATGCCCAACAGAGTTTACAGTCTATCAGTCTATCTTAAACTTTCTTGACTGTAACTGACAATGCATAGAGAAACCATGATTGTTTCTAGGTGCAATTTTAAACAAACTTTCTGCTGAAGGTGCACTGCAACCTTTTTTAAGTACACCGGTCATGGAGGGATGAAGTTTTTAGTGTTTACGTAATGTCATCATGTGAGCTCAAAGTAAGTGCATATGTATTAGACCTGTGCAAACAAGGGTCGGCCCGTTCGGCCCGCCCAGCCCGCCCTTTAAAAAGGGCGGATATGGACAACCTTTAATACCCAAATGGGCGGGCCAGCCCAAGCCCGAATTATATATGGGCGGATCTGGAAGTTACTTTTAGCCCATCTGGGCTAACAGGCCCACCCATATTCATCAAATATATTTACTTTATTATTAATTACCTAGCCAATATAAATTTTAAAATTTTATATAATTCATGTATAATAGTTTAATTCATTCACCTCTTTTAAACAAAAATCAATACTCTTTTAATTAATCAGTATGATGGATTTATTAGTTATGCAACAATATCTCTATTATGCTTTCTATATAAATGTGGTAACTGGTTTTTTATTTTAAACATTAAAAAAGAGTTCAATGTTTTTTTTAAATTTTTTGTACAAAATTTTTTTTTTTGATGTTTTATCCGGGCCGGGCGGCCCGGTGGGCAGTCCGGCCCGCAAAGATGGGCGGGTATAGGTAAAGAATTTAGCCCATCAAATCCGGGCCGGGCCAGGCCCGCCCATGTAAATGGGCTCATAATTTATATCAAGCCCGGCCCAAATCCGGCCCGGATCCTTATTTGCACAGGTCTAATATGTATGTATGTATATATAAATTTTAGTTCTGGTAGAATGAGATCTTATGAAAGAAATAAGAATGCATACGGACATATGGTGCTTTAGAATGTGAGATCTAAGGGCCATAAATTTTTGAAAGATAAGAAAAAATTAGAAAAATTGCGGTGGCATTTTTGTAATTAAATCGAACTTTGTAAAATGCACTACGTGCTTTGTAAAATGCATCATGGTGAACTACCTCCTTTATAAAATGCTCTTATGCCAACGCTTATATTTTCTCTGTTAAATTGAACTAGTTAATGCCTTTTTGTGTTTGTGTTATGATATAAAAATGTAAAAGAAAAAAAATTGTACAAAAAAGGATACCGTTTCTTTTTCTTTCTTTGAAAATGTTGTATTAAGCTACATTATACTAAAAACAATAACGAAAAACAGGAAAAAATTTGTAGTGGTAAACTTGTAATCCTATTTTTAATTGTGCAACTATGAAATGGTATGAAAATTAAAACAAATAAAATGGTATGAAAATTAAAACAAATAAATCGACAAAATGCTACTCCGTATATAAATAAAAAAAATAGTAATATTAAAAAAACTTAAAATAAAAAGCCAAAAATTTATGAATTAAAAAAATGGGAAAAAGAAATATTTTATACTTTCATTTTAAAAGATAGAATTTAAGTTGATTATAAATAGATAAATATTAAATGTAAATAGTAATGATGTAATAATCATTCCAGTGGGAATAGAGCATTGCGGGTGTTAAAGCCGATCACTGTGTATCCCATACGCCAAGTGGCAAACTGCCACGTTGAAGGACTCAAAGGTAGGAACACTGCTCACCTGGCATGGGATGTCCACATCGTTCTTCACTCTTCTCCATCTTTTTCAATTTTATCTTCAATTAATATTACTTTCTCGCACTATTCTTCACAAATTATTCTACTCTTTTTGTGTTTTTTATCCTCATGATGACTTCTTCTTCTTGGAGCCAAAATTGTGTTTATAAATGTGATTGTGGAGGCGACACAGATTCTGTTGGCGCAAGCACGAAATGGAAATACGCCAAAGCTAAGAAGTAGGAATATAATGTTGAATAGAGATAAGATCAACTAATTCTAATTTATTATACACTTGATTTTTTGAACATTATGTAAAATTTCTGTAGTTTTTTTTAAAAAAATATTTATTATGTTCACCGTAGGTGGCCATGACCGTCTCGTGGCCGATTACTTTATGGTGAATTCGGTGTACACCAATGAATAATTGAAGCGTCGATTTCGTACGAGGTCAACCTGTTGGAACACACTTTACAAATGCGTTGATCTAAAGTTGTATTCGTTTTTATAGGTTTTAATAAATGACAAACTGTTGTGGAAATGAAGAATTTCGTTGAACAACTCTATGCATGAAACAAACATGACACAAGATGCAAGAGAATTAAATACAAGATCAAGATTTGAAGACTTAGTTGAGTTGGTCTTATCTATCTATTCTTAAAAACAGGGGAATTATGCCCCATGCTTTTCCCGCCCAAAGCACTACGTTTCTGGACCGTCGATTTTAATCTACATGATTTAATCTACAATTATGATACACGATATAATAATACCGTTTTATTACATTCTATTAAAGGAAAATACGCAACAAAACACGTATGTAATTAAATGCGTTGCTATAAATAATACGGTTTTATAAAAGTAAAGCATTGATTACCTCAATGATACGGTTTTAATTATTTTAAACAAGGAAATGAACTTTATAATTTTGAAAGTTATTACGGAGTAATATATTTAACGAAAAGGTCCATTCCAAAATAGATCTTTTCTTTGTACGCGTAACTTTTTTTTATCGTGGCGGTAATTAATAAAATACGATTAAAATTTTAAATCTGTGATTCATTTTGTGTTTAAGACATGAAAAAAAATTAGACTTCGTTTGTTTACACAGAAATGTGTGTATTTCATAAAGAAATTTTATTTTAAGTTGATAGAACCGTCAAAAATATTACTGTTTGTTGAAAAGGAAATAAACAGAAAACTTTTCTTTTTTAAAATTGAATACGGTACCATGTAATAAAATAAGAATGTAATTAATGACTAAACTTTTTACGTTAGTGTTTTAACACCAAACCATTAGTGTTTTAACACACTTCCTTATTTAAACACACGTTAACATTCTGTATTTAACACACTCCAAATTCCGTATTAAACCGTATCAACACAATTCCCTTTTAAACACACGGTTTAAACACTATTAACAAATATCCTTATCTAAACACACGTTAATATTACAGTATAATAAAGACGTACAATTTATTTTTTTAACATACGGTTTTAACCAATTTTCTTTTTAAACAAACTGTTTTAATATGTAATTATTTTAAAAAAGGAACACCGATAATATGACACAATTACAATTTTAATTAATATTAAAGAAACGAAATACTTATAAGAAAGAAAGACCAAAGTAGGACTAAAACATTGAAAATATATCAAAATAGGACTTCCATGTTTTTATTCATAAAATAGAACTTAAAATGTATTTACATTACCAAACATGGTCATGTACATTACCAAAAAGTATAGTATTGTGCACATGTACAGTGCCACATTACAAGTTACAACCACATTATCACAGTGTGAAGTCCTATTTCGAAGAAAAAAACATGAAAGTCCTATTTTGATACTTTTCTCTATGTTTTAATTCTATTTATGGTGATTTCTATACTTATAATTAAGGTAATTTTAGTAATTAAATAATGATAACGACATTGAATATTTTAAAAAAAAGAAATATTATTTTTAAAAAGTTAATATTACTTTAATTTTAACACGCAATGCTTTTAAAAACGTAATATTATTAATTAAAAAAATAATGGTTCATTTTTGGGATTTTTTTGGGTTTTTGGGATTTTTCTGGGTATAAATAGAACTGTGTGGTTGTAAGATCACTTTCGCTTCTAAAATTTACTTCTTTTGGTTCTTTAATACAAATCACATAAAAGAATCATGGGTGTGTGGTCAATGCTAGACAAAGTTAATGATAGTTTAGGACCGTTCGTGGTAAAAGTGCACGTTGTACGTGTTTATCGAACCGCTACACATAATCGAACGCCATAATCACTTAATGTAATTTTATCATGATGACAAAGTATGATACCATTCCCCCCCAACTCAGTTTCTTTATACTTTGAAAAAAATTTATTAATTACATTAACTAATTGATTGCGTTTATAGGAAAATTAGATTCATGTGTTGATATATAAGAGATTCAAATATCACGACTTTCGAGAATGACCTCGAAGAAAACAATGTTTATGGTTTATACAAGTTTAGAGTCCAGCACAATGTACAAAATAAAAGATGAAATCCAACCCTTTTATGATAATCTTATTTGGAAAGACGAAACTTCAGAAATTATCTTTTGAACAATTTCCGAATTTGTGATGTAAGTTCATGGCTTTTGATGACATTCAGTTACTACCTCTGATAGACGATATCAATTTGAGCGGTTATCAAATTCTATACTAATTATCTTTGAAAATTTCGAATGTCACATATGCATTATATAATTTTAATTTTATATCCTCTCGTTTTATTATTATTTTAAAATCACAGATGTAATCAGAAAAGTTGTTAGCCGTACAATACAGGACGATCGCATGGGGAAGGGTGTATTCGAAAGGATAATGGAGGTTGTGTTGGAAGACCATAGGTATATGTACATAAAATCACATTTAACGTATTTGTGGTCACAATATTTTTGGGAAGATATTTTATACAAACATAAAACTTTGTCTAATCTTTGTGCAGGGGAAATCGTCTAGAGTGTATGTTGTGGGCTCATCACATTGATAAAGTGATTGAGGGACTCAATGAAGGATTAGCTAATCCACCGATACTTTTGATGCATATGGTTAAACCTAGACGGCATAATGGTATGACTATTAAATATTCTTTTTACCCAAGGGCTATATACTAATTAGGAAAAGAATGACGATTTCGAATAATTCATTTTCAGGAGAAGTATATGTTTCTAAGTTTTATAATGTGAGTAGAGTTGTCCTTAATAAAGATTCCGATGAAGTTAAAGATTTCAGAAGAGAGTAAGTTAAACACGTTTTTTAAATTTATTCTTTTGTCCGAATATTTAGAATTTAGTGAATTTTATATTAACGTATGATTCACGTTATTGTCATGTGGTGGAGATAATTTATCTCAAATTTGCAGCATTATATCCACTCAATCTGGACCCAAATCTGATCCATGCAATATGAATATGAAGATAATTTCTATTCGAGATCTTAAGTCCATGAAAAGTGTAAGGAGATGAATTTAATAAATGAAAAGTACTAGAAATACATATTCCATTAATAATTTAAATTAATAGTGCTAAATATGAACTATATTTTGAAAAAGGAAACAACAAATAAAATTTTTTTATTCATATAAAATTTTGTTACTAAAAGACAATTTACAAAAATATATGTGATATGATAAAATTATATTGCCATTAATGCACGGTTGAGATAAAAGAATCCGTAGTATTATTAAAAAAAAATTCACAATATAATTATGTAGTAAACAATGGATGGGTAGGTACTCCCATCATGTTGCTTAGAAACATTGACCATTCGATATGTTTGTGTAATGGTACACGATTGATAGTAACTCAGTTGACTAATCATTCAATAAAAGGGAAGATATTGTCTAGAACACACATGGATCAAGAAGTTGTTTTTCTAAACCTACCACTGACACCATCAAATTCAAGAATGACATTCAAGTTTCAAAGAAGACAATTTTCCTTTGATTACTTCATATGCAATCACAATAAATAAGAGTTAAGGCCAATCACTAAAACATGTTGGATTATTGTTATGGAAACCTGTTTTTAGTCACGGACAATTATATGTTGCGCTTTCAAGAGTAACAAATAAATCATAATTGCTTGAATATTCTTATTGACGATGCAGAACATGTTTCCACAAGATGTACTAATAATGTAGTTTACAAAGAAATTTTTCAGAATTTGTAATTTATATGATATTTATGTTTTACGTAAACGAAAGACATTATATTTTATTACGTGGTGTACTTATTTACTTTTTTAATAATAATTCCAATATAAATTTATAACGTTAATACGAATCGTGCAACGCACGGGTGTGATACTAGTTGTGATTAAAAACCAACAATGAAATCAAGTCTTGGTTCTCGAAAGTGAAAATAAATTTTATAAAATCATGAAACCATTTTTATGCATCAAACAAAGGTTTTTCATAAATAGTTTTGAGCTTCCAAAACCCCTGGTCATTGCCCAACCAAAAACCACAACATTCAGTTATCGACGTTCGGCGTAAATGTTTTTCATAATTGGTTTTGAGCTTCCAAACCCGGTCATTGCCCGACCAAAAACCACAACGTTCAGTTATTGGCGTTCGACATTGGTTCTCAGTGTTGGTTATTGGCATTGACTTTAGCCAAATGGTTTTTGAGTTTTCTATCTTTAGTTTTTACTATTGGGATTATGTAAAAGATTACCAAATTGTTTTTTCCAAAAACCACTCTTGGTTTATAGGTTTTGGTCAAAAATCATGAAAAGCATCCTTCACTTGGTAATCCGTAGTTTTCACCCTAAAGGCTTGGTTTTTAATATTTAACACTTAGTTTTTACTTTATATAGCATAAATAAGTGTTTCCAATAATCGATTTTCAATTTGGGAAACTTTGGTTTTTGACATCAGTTTTCGGGATGGGTGTCGGTCTACCCGTTCCCAGAACTTGTTAAGAATTTAGTAAAAATTAGCGTTGCCACTCGACAACTTACAAATACTTAGGATCTATTACATGGTTTTAGATAATATTTAGAGAAATTAAAAAAAATAAGTTTAGATAATAGATCGAGAGAAAGTGTAATTTTTAAAAGGGGTGGGGGTGTGCATAAATAAGGTTTGAGAAAAAAAATTGAAAATTAGTCATTGAACGGCTAGTTGGGGGGGGGGGATCGACGTAGTGACTATTATGGCCATCACTTCTATCACGGTCACAGTGATGGCGGTGTGGTGATCCATGCTGTGGTGGACACCTATGTGGCGCCACTTGGTCATCATGGCACCTTATCACTGCCCACACCGCATTGTTGAAGTGTGAGTGGCAAGATGTGCAGTCAGCAACGATATATCGTTGAGTGTCTGAGTTGTTCCTGATTTGGAATGAGTTGTGTTAAAGCAGTATATATAATCGTATAAAGTACTCTCTCCGTCCCAGATACATTTACATTATATGAACAACGTGTAAAATCCAATTTTTTAAGAAAAGATTTTATTTATAAATTGGTATAAGAAGTAATTACGTATTTAAAAACCATATTAAAAATTCCACAAAATGCTATACAAGTAAACTGATATCGGAACTTTAAAAATTCCACAAGAAAAACACATCATCAACTTTTATTTTATTTTAGAGAGCCTTACATATCGGAATATATGTAATTGAGCGAACTCAAACGGAATATCCACTATTGTAAATATGTTAGAGTACGGGAGTAACAACACTAGTCCGCTGTAGCACCGGCTAATTGATTGAGAAAATAGAATCATACCCGGGTTCGAACCCCGGCAGCGGATTGTTTTTACTTCTTTTTTTCTTCTTCTTTTGGGCCTCCCTTAATTTGGGGTTTGTGGAGAGCTCTTTCTTTTGGCCTCCTGAATTTAGGGTCCTATTGGGTTCTTCGGATTCCTAATTTAGGGTTCCTGTGGTGAGCTCTTTCTGTATTCTACAATCCTATTTTGATCCAATTTCTCTTTGTGAATTTCTTTCCCAGCACATCTCAATGCCATTCATCCATAGGCTGTGAAGAGGTATTTTACTGCATAATCTTAATTTTACTGCATAGTCTTAATTGCCTTTAAACTTTTGGAGATGTTTGGAATTATTAGACTTCCTTCCTTTCCATTTGATTCGTCCATGAGATAGTAAATGGAAAATTTATAATTTTTATTTTCTAATCTGATCAGGAAAAAAATCATAAGCATCAAGGAAGCTCTATAAATGGTGATATTATGGCAAAGCAGAAGTGTAGGCAAATGCTGTTTGAAATCAAGCCCAGTAGAATCCGACACACAGCGCTATAGCATGAATTGAAATCAAAATGCTGCGGCTTTCACCGAATGCTTAGGAATATGAAATGGCTCGGCCTTATTGGTTTCCATCCCAATGGGAACAATTTACCTCAGGGTTCTACTTGATGCTTATAATTTGCACGTGCCCTCCCTTGTGTTTTCAATGATCAGACACGCTAAATGGCTACATCAGTTTTTGGGTAGTCTTGAATGCTGTGCAAATGAAGGTAATATTGTATAAACAGAAGCTGGTCATCTTGTTTGAAGGCTAGATTTTCTGTTTGCATTGGTATTATCCAGGTTGAACATTTCTTTTTAGAAGTAAATAGATTCTCAGACCATTGTTTTTGCTACAAGAGGTGGTATATATAGCCACTGCCCACGGTCTCCCACTCACACTTTGGTATCAGGAGAGTGAGCGGGATAGATATGGAAGAGGGAACTTCACTAATTCTTTGAAAAACTGTATGACATCGTCTATTGTGCGTAAAGTTTATGGAACTCGTGTACACTTCCGAAGATCAATTTGGGGTTACTCATTTGATACCAAAGAGTTCACAGAATATTTCTGCCATCAGAAGAAAGAAGATCTCATCTCCTAGACTAAATGATGATGTAGATGGATGTAGTACTTCTTATGCAGTTGACAATGGTGGATCAGAAGCAGTTCATGGTCCGTCTATCTTGTCTTGATGATGAGATTACCGGGGAACTCGCGTACACTTCTGAAGATCAATTTGGACTTGTATGCGATGGAGCTATCACAGTGCCACGTGACTTAGTATTCAAAATTCAAGGACTATTATATCATACACTTCTTAAGAGAGTTTTAATCAAAGAACTGGACAATGCATTACTTCAGGGCGGTGTTCAAGATCAAGAAAGATGGAAAATTCAGGTTATCCCGTCAATTTCCATTGGAGCAAAAACACTCTCCATTAGCAATGTTTTTGTTTCGTTCACATAATACAGATGCATTTTGGGTATAGCGAAAACAGGCTCTCGGTTGGTTAAAACTGCATTCCCAAACCCCATCAGCGTTGGGGTTATACCGAGTCGTCTTTATTTGCCTATTTTCGTTACTCATTTGATAAAAGAATATAGTAATGTCACTTCTTGTTTTGTACAACTTTTAATGTATTTTTGAAATATATAAATTTTATTTTTAAAATCTATACAAATTGTCAATTAAATTGAATTGCAACTTCATATGATTACATCAAGGCACAGTACACTCTATGGTATGACAACAGCCACAGTAAAGAGTACATTATTTGATGGCAAAACCAAATTTAGTGCAAAGTCATTAACATTTATATTATCAGATGTTCCATTTTATCAAGGACCTGATATTTGATTTTGAGATGTCACTATAGGGCTAGCAAGGTTTGTCTTTCTTAGTATCGTTCTCTCTTATTTTTCATCTCTCCAAGTTCAAACCTTACAAATTACAGTACCCCTCCATCACTGACCACCAGGGTCCCCAACATTTTTTTTCTTTCCCTTTTTCCGTTTTGAAAATTTATAGGAAAGTTGTTTTGTTTTACCAGTAGAAAATACTGAGTATATTGGATGATAATTTTAATCTTTACTACTCAGAGTTTCTCTGTAAGGCTTATATAAACCTTATCCAAGACTAACAAAAGGCTTATAACTCTTAATTTCCATAAGATCGTGGAGACATCTGTAATATTATTAGACCTCCTTTCCTATTACTTTAATCATTCGGGATAATGAGTAACACGGGTTAAATAGATTCAGAACAATTGATGAAAGAAATTAATTCTTTTATGTACTTCCCAATCTGACCAGGAAAAAGAATAGAACATTGTACGAGAACAAGCTTCTCTACAAAATTGTTTTGATGCCTAGGAACTAAGATATCTGAAGTCTATCAGGATCTACTACTCATGCTAGAGATGATGTCTAGGAAGGTGTCTTCAGGACAAGGAATCGTAAGCCCACCCATTGGATGATCAAATCCGAATTCTTCTTCAGCTTGACATAGCAGCTCTTGGAATGAATGGTCCTTCAAGTATGTTATTGGAAGGACAAAACGTTTCTTCTCGCCCTCCCCTACATAAACTGCAAAGTGACCCTTAGGAACCTCACTTTCTCTGTTTGTTCTTGAGGAAGACCTTCTGAGGCCTCCTTGCTTCCCACGGAGAATGCGCCCCATACTGATTGCCATTTTTCTTTAGGATGTTGAGGAACTATTAAATAAAGAAATAGTTTGTGATTGCTGAAATAATGTTTTTTGTGAAATGTGAAGAAAGTCTTTGAGTTTTTGTGGTGGTGAATACCAACTGGGATGTGTTTATATAGGTATACAAATCTTTAGAAGGTAGAATAAGTGATATTAACTTGAGATAGCTCAACCACTCTTTCATTACCACATGTTTTGTTTTCCAATAATGTGTATTGCCAACTTGGTAGGTACAGCATAAGGAGTGGTAGTTTGGTTTGACACGTTCTTTGGGAAATCATCAATAGTTTCTACTGCCTCTGAACATGAAATTGAATGGACGTGGACAGCTAAACCATTTATGCCATTCAATAAGATTAATGGTATTTGCCCAGAAAATAGATAAGCTGATTTACTTGAATGGGAAACATAGCCATGTGATTCTGATCAACTGTCTTCTTGATTGAATAGCTAAATGGCCCCTTATGTCTAGTTGGCACATGGTTTTGCCTTCCTCAAGAAATGTAGCTTATGCCAGCCTACTAAACATGTTAAATAGATGGCTTGCTTCTTCTGCATCCTGATAATCAGACACTGCAATCCACTCTTTGTGGATCTTGCTCTCTTCTATTCTATTTTTTGGATCTGGTTCCACGAAATTTGGTGCAGGGTTTCCTCTATATATGCATTTAGCAGCTACTTTATATTTTTGCTCACCAGCTTCACCCAACCAAGAAGGGCTGCGGAATTGAAAATTTCAAACCTTGCAGGATGCTCACCACTCCTTGTCTCTCTTCTTCTAAATGAGGAATGACTTCTTTGTTTGAAAGTTCTTGGATAGGATGGCCTTCTTTTAGAGTCAGCCAGTACTGTTCATATCAGAAGCAAGCATTTTGGTTCTTTAGAATGGGAGGTAATCAAGTTGTTGAATAGTGTGAAGAGGAGGTGTCAACCTTTTGGAGTGGAAAGTGTTTCTGCTAGCTCTGCTTAAAACTCTCTTTTCTAGTTGGGATGATTGTGAACTGTAATTTCATAAAAGAAATGGAGCAACTTGGCAGAATCATTGGGTCTAAAATATTGTAACCAATAAAGGCAATATACAGGTTGGTGACCCCAAAGCTTTGCTGCCGGCATATTGTGATATGTTTGGAGTTCCTGGATCACAATTCACAAACAACACTATAGCAAAAGTTGAATTCAAAATGTGGCGGCTTTCGCTGAATGCTTAGCAACAAAATGCATCGGTCTTACTGGTTTCCATCCCGATCGGAACAAGTTACCACAATTTTCTGCATAATGATTATGATTTGCACCTTCTCCCCTTTGTGTTTCCACTACTTGCTCTTCAGTGATCAGACATGCTAAATTGCTTCAACTGCTAGCAAGAGCTCTTAAGTGGTCGAGCATTTCTTCTAAGAAGCAAATAGATTTTTGGAATTTTGGAGCATTGTTTTTGCTATATGGCCACTGCCCACTTCCCCACTCTTATAAGCACAATCTTTTTAGATCTTCACGTACGACAAATAAACCCAAATAAATAAGGAGAGCAAGTGGGATAGATATGGAAGAAGGAAGTCTGCTTGATCTTTGAACTATTATATAACATCTCTGTTGTATATAAGGTTTATGGTTTTCATTATTTCAAACCCAATGTCCTCAATTTAACTTGAGAAGAAATTCTTTTGAAGAAGAAGAAGAAGAAGAAGAAGAAAGATATGGCTACCAATCTGTCAGGAATGAACTAGCAAGAGATATCACCCCATCCTTTCGGGTTCCCTGATATGTTTTGTCATTAAAAGGTCTTTGCATTTTCATTTTTTTCAACCTTCGCCTCTATGCTGCTTATTTCAGTACTGCCACAAATAAAGTAGTGAAGAAGGGAGAGTAACTTTCCATTGGAGTTCTGGAAATGCACATGTAATCCTTAAAGAAGAACAAAGAGGAAGATGATCGTCTTCCTTTGCCCCTCCGGGAATTACAGAAGATCAGTTTTCTCTATCCTTTAAATTCTACAAAACAAGCTGAAGAGTAGTTCCTCAAGTTCTAAGAGGTAAAATTTTCTTAATTTCCAACTTGATCATGCATCTTGAAGTTAGCTGTCCACTTTCTTCAGTTCTTGTTTTCATTTCTTCGGAACAAGTTGTCTACTTTCCATATTCAACAAAGAAATTACTTTGAAGTGTCTGAAACATCCTTCAAAAAGAGTTTGAGCACTCCTGACTTGAATAGGTGACAAAATCATTTGAAGGACTTAATTAGGCATTTCTTACTCATTTCTTAAATATGAGAGTTTTTAAAGAGTACAACTAAGTCTGTACGGAGGGTGTGTAATTTGAAAGATTTTGAATGATTAGAGTTCATTTCATTCCACTCGATGATGTTCAAGATAGGAGTAATACAGTAAATAGTTAGAGAATTGATAAGATTAAGAAAATATACTCCATATATTTCCCACTCTGATGGGGAAAAAAACAGAACACTGTACAAAAAAATATGTTTCTCTGCATTGTTGTTCTAATGACTAAACTAAGAGATGTCTAAAGTGTATCAAGATCTGCTACTCATTCTGGAGATGATGTCCAGGAAGGAGTCATCCGGACAAGGAATTGTGAGTCCGCCCATAGGATGATCGAATCCGAATTCTTCTTCAGCTTGACTTAGCAAGTCTTGGAATGAATTTTCCTTTAAGTATGAGATGGGAAGCACAAAGCGTTTCTTCTCGCCCATGCCTATATAGACTGCAAAGTGACCCTTGGGAACCTCGCCTTCTCTGTTAGTTCTTGAGGAAGACCTTCTGAGGCCATGTTTCCCACGGAGAATGTGCCCCATGCTGATTGCCATTTTCCCTTTGAAGTATGAATTTGAATGAGATACTCACAGAAACAATTTGTGAAAGCAAAAAAGTTTATTTTCTATGAAGAAAGACCTTGTGTTTTGTTGTGTGGGATGAGCAGCTAGCTACTTGAATGTGTTTATATAGATAGATATATAATCCATTCAGGAAATTTCCATCTTGCAAAAAAATATGATATGTAATTGGGATTGCTCATTTGTCTTCCACATGTTTTTGTCTTTCAATAATAGTGTGCACTACCAACTTTGCAGGTACAAAACATCATTCCCCACTTGGGATTGGGATGGCTCAACCACTCACTCAAGAAAACCTCAGGTTATATCTAAAGATGCCCATTAAGTTAATGCATTTGCCCAACTGCCCAAGTAAAAAACATGTACTAGCTCCGTCTCAAAATGATATTCCTTTTTTGTACAACGTACAAAATCTCGTGAATTTTAAAATGATTTTATCTGTAAAACATACAACGAAAATGAAACTTACATATTCAAAATTGACATCAAAGGTTCTACAGTACAAAACAAGAGATGGACAAAAATATTTTACTCAATCAAATGATTAATGAAAATATGCAAACAAACAAAAGTTATCGGCATTACCGTAATAGTAAAAGTGTAAATCATTTTGGTACGAAAGGAGTATATGTCATTTTCTTTTTAAACCAATGTGTTTATTGTGTTGCAGCTAATGCCCCCACTGCAATCTGGGAAGGACACCATGTTTAAAGATTGTCTCAGCCTCTGCACTTCAGCATATCAGATTTTTCTGCAAATCTTCTTGCTCTGTTCCATTCAGCATCTGTCAGTGTATAATAATCCAAAGTTTACCTCTATTCTTTGAAAATCGATTCACACCCTAATGTTAATGGTTGAGTGTCTTTATCATTAAATTAATGTAAACCATAGGTCGTTTCCCATTCAAAGCTAAGCACTTTCATTATAAAATTTCGAAATGAAATTCTCATCATTTATAGAAATACCAAAATACTTCCATCGTCTCAAACTAAATTGTATGCTTACTATTCATAGAGTCAAATATCATTCACTTTCTTCATCATTCAATTTTTTTCTTCTATTTTCGTTAGTCATTTGACAAAATAAAATACTCATGTGACCACTAGTTTTGTAGATCTTTTGATTTAGTTTTTTAATATGTAATTTTTTATTTAGTTCTATATCATTTTTCGTATAAAATGATTTAAAAATAATTTCAGTCAAATATCGTAAACCGAAACAGACAATATAAATTGGGACGAGAGTATATAAATTGGGGCGGGAGTACATTCAAATTTAATGACATTTAATAAATATTTTCAACCGAAGACTATTTAGGGAATAAAATAAATTATGAATAATCATGCGGGCAATTATTATTTAGAAAGGACCATTTTGGGAATTCACTCTTACTTATATGATACTTCATCATTAAGATTCTCATACTCTTCAATCAACAATAATTACATTCGTATTACTTTATTATTGAGATTTTTTTACGAGAAAAAGACTAAAGTAAAAGTAAAACATTAAAAATATACTAAAATAGGGATTCTATGTTTTTATTCTCAAAATAGGAGTTCAAGTGCATTTACATTATTAATGATAACAGCGTACATTACGTAAAGTATACATGTACAATGTCATATTAATACAGCGCCAACTCTTATTTAGGGAATAAAATATGGAACTCTTAAAATCACATTATCCCAGTAAGTTTGGGGTAAATTTCACCAATGGTACCTGAAACGGGCTAATGGCTCATTATTGAAAGGATTGTGTAAATTCAGGGATTTTTGTGAAAGGATTTGAAGTTGAGGTACCACTTCGAAATTCCAGCTAAAGTTCAGGTACCATTACTGAAATTTACCCCAGTAATTTTATAGTTTCTGGGTACTTGAGGGTACAAATGAGATTGCATTACAGTGCCGTCCCGATCCGTGCCCACCCCTATAAATAAGTGTTTCCAATAATCAATTTTCAATTTGGGAAACTTTGGTTTTTGACATCAATTTTCGGGACAGGTGTCGGTCTGACCGTTCTCGAAACTTGTTAAGAATTTAGTACGGAGTAAAAATTAGCGTTGCCACTCGACAACTTACAAATAGTTGGGATCTATTACATGATTTTAGATAATATTTAGAGAAATTAAAAAATAAATAAGTTTTGATAATAGATTGAGAGAAAGTGTGATTTTTAAAAGGGGTGGGGGTGTGCATAATAAGGTTTGAGAAAAGAAAAAAAATTAAAAATTAGGCCCCGTTCTGTTCAACTTATTTTTTCTTATTTTTTCTTATTCTTATTAAAATCAGACCAGACCAGATCAGATCCAAATAGATCAGATCAGATCCAATCAGAACTTATTAAAATCAGATCCCATCAATTATTATTATTATTATTATTATTATTGTTGTTGTTGTTGTTGTTGTTGTTCTTAAAAATGAAAAAAAAATAAACTTTAGAAACAGGCTAAGAAGAAAAATGAGAAAGTAATCCTTAATTATTAGACGTCGGAAAAATTAGTTTTAAAATACACTGACAACGTCAATCTAATTGTACTTTTAAAATATATTTTTATTGCTACTTGTAATTTGAGTTTCTAAATTTTTGATCTTTTATAAGGATGAGATATTTGAATAAAAATAATATCTCTTCTATATATTGATTATCTAAATTTAATTACTTTTTAATGTATATATAAATTAAAAATTTATTCTAATGTATATATGAAGTAATTCTTAAAATATTAAATTAATATTCTAATTTCACAAAAAAATAATCATAAAATAAAAAATATTATTACATTATAATATGAATGATTATTCTAATATATATATTAACTAATTTTATTTTATTAAAAAATAATCATTAAGAAAAAAATATTGATTATATTATAATATGAATTATCATTACAATTTTCAAACGTTATTATAAAATCAAATCAAAATTATTGATTTGAATTTTAAATCAAATCATAATTAATCAAATCAGACTAGATCAGACCAGATCCAATCAGATCAGATCAGATCCAATCAGATCAGACCAGATTAGATCAGATCCAATCAGATCAGGTCACATCAGATCCAATCCAGATCAAATCAAATCCAATGAGATCAGACTAGATCAGATCAGAAGTTATTAAAATCAGATCAGAAAAAATAAGTTGAACGGAATGAAGCCTTGGTCATTGATTGACTAGTTGGGGAGAGTGGGGGATCGACGTGGTGACTATAATGGCCATCACTTCTATCACGGTCACAGTGACTAAAATCCGAATATTTTATTACATAAAAGTCTATCTATGGATATAATGAGCACTTCGTATAATTTCTTGACTAAGTGCTACTATATCAAGTATGCCTTTTATAATCATTTTTATAATTTCTTAATAAAAAACGAGACATAAAAAAGAGACACACAAAAATTCGATTTAATCATTTCAAAATTATTAGGATACGTCGAATTGATTATTGGTTAAAAGTCGGGTTCAGGTCGGGTTCGGATTTTGGTTTTAAAAGTCGGATTGAGTTTGGGTATAGTATTATCCGACCCGAACCAGACCCGTTCCCATCCATAAGAGTGTGGAGACATCTGTAATTATTAGGCCTCCTTTCCTATTACTTTAATCATTCGGGATAATGAGTAACATGGGTTAAGTAGATTCAGAACAATTGATGAAAGAAATTAATTCTTTTATGTACTTCCCAATCTGACCAGTAAGGAAAAAAATTGAACATTGTACAAGAATAAGCTTCTCTACAAAATTGTTTTGATGCCTAGGAACTAAGATATCTGAAGTCTATCAGGATCTACTACTCATGCTAGAGATGATGTCTAGGAAGGTGTCTTCAGGACAAGGAATCGTAAGCCCACCCATTGGATGATCAAATCCGAATTCTTCTTCAGCTTGACAAAGCAGCTCTTGGAATGAATGGTCCTTCAAGTATGTTATTGGAAGGACAAAACGTTTCTTCTCGCCCTCCCCTACATAAACTGCAAAGTGACCCTTAGGAACCTCATTTTCTCTGTTTGTTCTTGAGGAAGACCTTCTGAGGCCTCCTTGCTTCCCACGGAGAATGCGCCCCATACTGATTGCCATTTTTCTTTAGGATGTTGAGGAAGTATTAAATGAAGAAATAGCTTGTGAATGCTGAAGTAATGTTTTTTTGTGAAATGTGAAGAAAGTATTTGAGTTTTTGTGGTGGTGAATACCAACTGGGATGTGTTTATATAGGTATACAATTCTTTAGAAAGTAGAATAAGTGATATTAACTTGAGATTGCTCAACCACTCTTTCATCACCACATGCTTTGTTTTCCAATAATGTGTATTGCCAACTTGGTAGGTACAGCATAAGGAGTGGTAGTTTAGTTTGACACGTTGTTTGGAGAATCATCAATAGTTTCTACTGCCTCTGAACATTATTGCCCACAGGCTTCAATGAAATTAAATAGATGTGGACAGCTAAACCATTTATGCCATTCAAGAAGATTAATGGTATTTGCCCAGAAAATAGCTAAGCCGGTTTACTTGAATGAGAAACATAGCCATGTGATTCTGATCAAATGTCTTCCTGATTGAATAGCTAAATGGCCCCTTATGTCTAGTTGGCACATGGTTTTGCCTTCCTCAAGAAATGAAGCTTATGCCAGCCTACTAAACATGTTAAATAGATGGCTTGCTTCTTCTGCATCCTGATAATCAGACACTGCTATCCACTCTTTGTGGATCTTGCTCTCTTCTATTCTATTTTTTGGATCTGATTCCACGAAATTTGGTGCAGGGTTTCCTCTATATTTGCATTTAGAAGCTACTTTATATGTTTGCTCACCAGCTTCACCCAACCAAGAAGGGCTGCGGAATTGAAAATTTCAAAGCTTGCAGGATGCTCATTACTCCTTGCCTCTCTTCTTCTAAATGAGGAATGACTTCTTTGTTTGAAAGTTCCTGGATACGGTGGCCTTTTTGAATACTTTTTTTTAGTCAGCCAGTACTGTTCATATTGGAAGCAAGCATTTTGGTTCTTTAGAATGGGAGGTAATCAAGCTGTAGGATAGTGTGAAGAGGAGGTGTCAACCTTTTGGAGTGGAAAGTGTTTCTGCTAGCTCTGC